AAATGTTTCCATCATTAAAATGTCTAGAAATCGTCCTCTTCCTGCACGTCATCTGCAGCTAGAAGATGATTAAGAGCAACCTTCGACTTCTTGCTCTCAGGTTGGTTTTCCTTGATATCCTCTATATCACCTTTTCTCTTCATCAATTCATCTATACCGTCTTCAGCTTCTTCATCTCCACGCAAAGCAGTGTCACCATCAGATCCTTCTACTTCTTCCTTAGGCGGTGATTTTGGTTCAGCCTTTTCATCTTTTTCTCGACCATCAATAACTGGTTTGCCAGATGCTGATTTACATTCAGCTAAAAACGAGCGCACTTCTTCACTGCTGGCAAGATCAAAAGAGGTTTTCCCAGCCTTGTTCTTGGAATCCGTATTTGCACCTTTCTTCACCAAATACTTGACAATTTCGAGGTGAGACCCTTGAGCAGCAAAGTGAAGAGCCGTCATGCACTTTCTGTTACAAGACTTGATGGAAATTCCAGATGTAAGAAGAATCTTGATTACTTCTAGATGGCCCTTTTGAGCAGCAAAGTGAATTGCACCCATGTCATCCATGGCAGCAGCACCTATATCTGCCTTATTCTTGCACAGAAAATTCACCACCTCTGCATGCCCAGACCATGCTGCTAGATGTAATCTGTGGTTCAATATCATTTAAGGAAAAGAGAGAGTGCAAAAAACTTGAGTATCAAAGTACTTCAACTTGAGATTTTATAAAAGAAATCAAAGTGCTTCTTTGGCATGGAGGGCTGGACAGTATTGTCCACTGGACTGCATGACAAAAAAGATTAACCTTTTTCCTTCTTTAATACTGTCAACTAGTATCCATTCCACCTTCCTCACAAGCCAAAATGTCTAGATTCCCACTCGTTCCCTCTCAGTAGCTTGCTCCTTTCTTCTTGTGGGGAGTCTCTCTCGACCCTTCTTAGTTTAGTATGATAGACGATCTGGCTATGAGCTTCCAGGCAGCAGCAACAACCATCAACTTGTTAACACGTCCTGCATTAACAAATTGCAGATAACGCTCTCACACTCCTAAAACAATTTTCTAACGGTTCTAGCCTCTAGGGTACTAATGACTATCTTCATGCTCTGAATGTCACAAAAAACATTCAAACCCCACCTACTTTAACTTGAATAATAAAAACCTTCATTTTTTTGTTGTTGGGAATTGACCAAATCATAATTAAAATGAAACATTAAGGCAATAAATTGTTTTTTCAAAAGCCAGTTGAAGTGGGGTATGCAAGCAAACCATCATAGGTGAATTCCCCTACTCAGTACTAATACGACAATGGAAGTCTATCTTCAAATAGTACAATCCTTACTTACATGGTGAACAGGTGTTTGATTGTCTGGAAAGAGGCCCCTATTGATTAAGAATGATAATTGCATATTTATATGATTTCATTCTTTTTAAGTTACAATATAGTGGAATACTGAAGGCTACATACTGCTTTAGAGCCTGCTCACACCATAAAGAGTGGTGCATTAGGCGCTTTAGAGGCACACTTTGTACTTCCCATGTACGCACTATTGTCACGAGCTTTTTTGGAATTATATAAAAGTGACTTGGCATCAGGTGGCAAAGGGTGCATGTGTGATGATGTAGCGACTAGCACCAGGGGCCTTTGGTGTCCCTCTCATCAGGAACTAGGGTCTCAACATTCACTAGCCAATAGGTTTTCCTAACCTGCGCCTATGTGGAGTGTCGATTTTCAATTGATAAGACACAACTAGTCTGGTCCGTTCACTGAATTTGATTGATCCAGGGTGCAGGTGCAAGAGAGTTGTGGACCATCACAGCAGGGTGCAATCCGACCAGTCAACTTGCGTTCATTCTGGCCTTAATCACATATTTATTGAATTGGATCCAACCATGTCCATACGCTATAGAGCATGGGGTGGCTCTTGGAGGGTTCAGCTTATACTAACCAATTACCTCATGTCAAAAAAAAAATAAAAAAATCTCAATGCTTGTCTTTCTCACACTTAACGCGAGAAAAATAGGGCGGCAGATAATCTAGCCAATATAAAGGTATCCATTAGGAGGTACAAGGAGTTTCATGCCAGTGATCATTCTATGAAATTGAGCCCATGTTTGGCCCGCATTTTCTAAAACTCATTTTTACCCAAACTCAGTTTCAACCACACATTCTCTCAATAAAATTATTTTGCAAGTTAACCCGTATCCTACATTTTAACCACACATTTTCCAAAAAAAAAATCGCTTTTCACAATATTCTCAAAAAATCTCTATCAAACAAGGGATGAAAAGCATTATTTGGTTAGACGCACGATACATAACTTATTTGCGTTCACAAGTTTAAAGCCTATTTTAATAAGGCTGGCTCATATTCGTATGATTTTTCTAGTTTTTTAATTCAGCTTCGTTTGTAATGGAAGCAGTACTTCAATTTTTTTGGCTTTTCAATCTTCACTGTTTTGTTTGTATAATTTTTCTCTTTCTTCGTCAAGGTTTTCATTGCATCTCACCATTTTGTTCCATTTTCAACAACATTTTACCATCTCATGTTATTTCTAGAGCAAGAACAGCAGAGGGAACTCTTACCGATATTCCCCAGGTCGAAGAAGCATGTAACACAGTAGACTCAAATGCATAGTTGGGCGAGGATCATTAAATTAAAACAGAAAAAGACCCCAAAATTTCGCAGAATTTATTATGCTTTTTCCTCTTCATCTATATTCACAGCAATCAAAAATCCCCTGACAGAAATATATGTTCAAAACCTTCAAAATTGCGTGTCAATTAAATGGAATTAGCTTCTTGCAACTAAGGTGCCCACTAAAAAATAAATAGCAAGAGGAAAACAGTAAATAAATTACCCAGTTCAAACCTTCCAATACAACACAAAGAGACACATAATTATCATTCGTTAAAAGAAATGTAAAGAAAACGAGAAATTGAAGGAAGAATAAACCGAAGGATACGGTGTACGGGAGTGCCTGTCACGGGAGTTTACGGCTAGAGGATTCGTGCTGCAAATTGTCTGCACGGCCTTCAGGTCCCCCGATCGAGCCGCCGCGTGAAGCTCTTCACTAGTAGAATTAGCATTCACTGATGGCCTTTTTGGATTTCCCATTCTTTGCGGGGAATTTGGTTTAGGGAATGAACGAAGAGAACTGTAGGGAATTGTACAGAGTTTGGGGTTCTCAAATGTTTCGTGGAAGAAGAAGAAGAACTGAAATGCGATTTTTGGGAATAACAACCGAATCACTATATAGGCTGTGAAATAGAGAAATTTTGAACATAAGTCTTAAAAAGAACTAAACAAATCCTTTGGGTAGGAAGGAACAATGTTGAAATAAAACTAGGTTCACAAACAGTTTCAAAATGTTTATGGGGTTCCAAGAAACATTTTCACATCATTTGGGTAGGAAGGAACAATGTTGCTCTCCTAATACCAAATGAAATCAAAATATTTAAGTAAAGGTTACACGTGTCGCCATTTTCGATCGTCGTAAAAAAATCCCATTTTTTTTAAAAAAAATCTTGAAATTAGTCAAATTTTCAACGTCCTCCTTCTCCATTATATCACGTAACCACACATTCTTCCTTACCCATTCCTCCTCCTCACGACAAACTTCTCCTTCATTTCCTTCATTTTCTCTCTCCTTCCTTTCCTCCATTTTCTCACGGCGTTTCCATTTGCAGTTGATGTCAAACAATAGATTTTAGAAGGATTTAACAGTTGGAATACATGTTTGGATTATAGCCATTCATTTATATTAATTCTTCAGTGTTAATGTCTAACAGTAGATTTTAGGAGGATTTGGTGGTTGGAATACAGGTTTGGATTATAGCCATTCATTGATTGTTCTTCAATCCTCTGTTCTGATCGAGCATTCCTTCTGATTGAATTTGCAAGTGAGTTTGTGCCTCCGTGTGTGTCTTCGTGCGTGCACGGAGGCGTACCCTTGTGCCTCTGTGTGTGCAAGAAGGCGCACCCTGAGCCCACGGAACACACCCGTGTGCCTCCGTGCACGCCCTAGAGGATTTTTTTTCCCTTTTTTTTACCATGCTAGCCGAATGTGCATTTGAAAATAATTTTCCTTCCATGCACATGGTGCCTCGTGTTGTTTCAGTATCTTTTCGAACTTACCTAACTTTATTTGGTCGTGTTTCTTCAGTGTTTAGTAATTCGTGTGAATGTCATCAAAGTATATTAATATTATTTGTTTCTTGTTAAAATTCCAAGTAAAAATTATCTATTTAGCTATTTATATTATGGATGGTGATGTTGGAAGCTATGAGCTGGAAAAGAAACGTCGTCAAGCAATTTATGCTCGATCAAAGCAATCTTCTAATGCGCGACGTAGAGAATTGTATGCTGAGACACAGGAATTGCGTGGTCTGCATCGACAACAATTGCATATTCAGAGGACAAAAACAACAGTAGGAAGGGATAGTTCAGATGCAGGTGCAGCCTGTTAGTTTTTTCTTTTATTATACTAATTGACTATATTATATTACTTGGCTTCTTTTATTGTCTTATTTCACTTCACTATATATTAAAAGAGACAAAGTAAATATTACACGTGTCGCCATTTCCCATTGTCGTAAAAAATTCCCATTTTTTTTTTTTAAAAACCCTGAAATTAGTCAAATTTCCAGCATCCTCCTTCTCCATTATATCACGTAACCAACCATTCCTCCTCACCCACTCCTCATCCTCACGGAAAACTTCTCCTTCCTTTCCTCAATTTTCTCTCTCCTTCATTTCCTCCATTTTCTCACGGCCTTTCCATTTGCAGTTGATGTCAAACAATAGATTTTAGAAGGATTTGACAGTTGGAATACAGGTTTGGATTATAGCCATTCATTTATATTGATTCTTCAGTGTTAATGTTTAACACTAGATTTTAGGAGGATTTGGTGGTTGGAATACAAGTTTGGATTATAGCCATTCATATTGATTGTTCTCCAATCCTCTGTTCTGACCGAGCATTCATTCTGACTGAATTTACAGGAGAGTTTGTGCCTCCGTGTGTGTCTCTGTGCGTGCACGGAGGTGCGCCCATGTCCCTCCGTGCATGACCTGGAGGATTTTTTTTTACCATGCTAGCCGAATGTGTATCTGGAAAGAATTTTCCTTCCATGCACACAGTTCCTCGTGTTTTTTCAGTATCTTTTCGAAATTACCTAACTTTATTTGGTCGTGTTTCTTCAGTGTTTAGTAATTCGTGTGAATGTCATCAAAGTATATTAATATTATTTGTTTCTTGTTAAAATTACAGGTACAAATTATCTATTTAGCTATTTATATTATGGATGCTGATGTTGGAAGTTGTGGGCTTGAAAAGAAACGTCGTCGAGCAATTTATGCTCAATCAAAGCAATCTTCTAATGCGCGATGTAGAGAATTGTATGCTGAGGTACATGAATTGCGTGGTCTGCGTCGACAACAGTTGTATATTCAGAGAACAAAAACAACAACAGGAGGGGATAGTTCAGATGCAGGTGCAGCATGTTAGTTTTTTCTTTTATTATACTAATTGACTATATTATATTACTTGGCTTCTTTTATTTTCTTATTTCACTTCACTATATATTAAAAGAAACAAAGTAAAGGTTACACGTGTCGCGCATTTCCCATCGTCGTAAAAAATCCCCTTCTTTTTATAAAAAAACCCTGAAATTAGTCCAATTTTTGGCGTCCTCCTTCTCCATTATATCATGTAACCACCCATTCCTCCTCACCCACTCATCATCCTCACGGCAAACTTCTCGTGCCTTTCTTCCATTTTCTCACGGCCTTTCCATTTGCAGTTGATGTCAAACAATAGATTTTAGAAGGATTTAACAGTTGGAAAACAGGTTTGGATTATAGCCATACATTTATATTGATTCTTCAGCGTCAATGCCTAACAGTAGATTTTAGGAGGATTTGGTGGTTGGAATACAGGTTTGGATTATAGCCATTCATTGATTGTTCTTCAATCATCTGTTCTGACCGAGCATTCCTTCTGACTGAATTTGCAGGTGAGTTTGTGCCTCCGTGCGTGCACGGAGGCGCACCCTGAGCGCACGGAGATGCACTCGTGTTCCTTCGTGCACGCCTTGGAGGATTTTTTTTACCATGCTAGTCGAATGTGCATCTAGAAAGAATTTTCCTTCCATGCACACGGTGCCTCGTGTTTTTTCAGTATCTTTTTGAACTTACCTAACTTTGTTTGGTCGCGTTTCTTCAGTGTTTAGTAATTCGTGTGAATGTCATCAAAGTATATGAGAATTATTTGTTTCTTGTTAAAATTCCAGGTACAAATTATCTATTTAGTTATTTATATTATGGATGGTGATGTTAGAAGTTGTGAGCTGGAAAAGAAACGTCGTCGAGCAATTTATGCTCAATCAAAGCAATCTTCTAATGTGCGGCGTAGAGAATTTTATGCTGAGGCACATGAATTGTGTGGTCTGCGTCGATAACAATTGTATATTCAGAGGACAAAAACAACAGCAGGTAATGGTAGTTCAGATGCAGGTGCAGCCGTTAGTTTTTTCTTTTATTATACTAATTGATTATATTATATTATGTGGCTTCTTTTATTTTCTTATTATGTGTGCATTAATCTTTTGCCATATCTAAATTATATTTTTTGAGTGATATGTCAGCTAGAGAAGTTGTTCATCTTCATCAAATAGGTAACTTGTACTTCCACTTAATTATATTAGTTGTTGCATCAACTCCATTCAATCTATTTTGAATTTTTCTTATCTGAATTGTATTTTCCAATGTTTTAGGTGGCTTGTCACACAGGATTGTTGATAGTTCTCAAGAAACAGGTGGCTTATGCTTCAGCTTTAGTATGGTGCAAATTTTTCTTCTGCTGGAATTTATAGTTTGTTTATTTTTTAACTAGGTTTTACTGCTTTGTCAGAGTTCCAAATGTTAGAATATACTTCCAATATTTTACAGTACGTTCCAACCAAATATTACTAGTTACCTATGCCAACAATTTGTCATTTCTGTGGAGCGAAAATTTTTTATAAAGAAAGTAAAGGTTTTTGCTGTTGTGATGGGAGCATTAAACTAAAAATTAATGATATACCTCCAAAATTACATCTTCTATCTACATTGAAATCTGACGAATCAGTTAACTTTAGTACTTATATTCGAAGTTATAATTGTAATTTTTCTTTTACTTCATTCGGTGTAAAATATGATAAAAACTTGTGCCAGAGAATTAAAGGAATATATACTTTTAGAATTCAAGGACAGATATATCATTACCTAAATCAACTTCTTCCTATGGATTCTAACCCTTCTTATTTACAACTTTATTTTTATGATACCGAAAATGAAATAGAAAACCGTTTAAAAATATCGGATAAGCTTTCTTAATCAATTGTTGAAAAATTAATGCGCATTTTAGAGATAAATCCATATACAAATTTTTTTCGAAGTTCAGCTTGTTACTGATTTGGAAAACCATGAGATAAAAATTGCATGTAATTTAGGTATGGATCAAAGGGTTTATAATGCTCCGACAGTATCACAAGTTGCTGCGATTTGTGTGAATGATGAACAGTGTAATCTTGGGCTTCGTGATATACGTGTTTATGCCCATTCTGGTAGTAAGCATAGAGTGCATTATTATTTTGGATGTTATGATGCTCTCCAATACCCTTGTTATTCCCTAATGGAGAGAGCAGATGGCATCAATGTATTGAAAGAGTTAATAAATAGTATAGAAATAGTGATATTTCTTCTGTTGATACTATGCTTGATGTCCATTATGCTGGTTCGGCTGAAGAAATATTGAAGAATGAGGTAGCAGGTTTGAAAAATACATTGTTTCTTGATTTAGTTTTTTTATTATTAACTTTTATTTTTTTTCCTATATTTTTAGTTTTGCACAAAAAACGAGGACAATCACAGGTGTCTTGTCGTGAATTCTATTGTTATAAACTGCATGTAAGGTCATTAGATAATTCTATATTGCTACATGCTGGCCGTCTTTTGCAACAATAAGTAGTTGACATGTATGTTAAAGTTGAATCTTCTATATTAGATTACTTTCGTAATAATCAAACACAAATACGTAGTGGAGTTTATCAAGGTATTGTTGATAGTGTACATAA